TCAATGTGCTCTTTGGCAAATTGTAACCTCTTCAGCACGTCTTTCTTTCAACAGTGGGACTTTGCGGGGGCTTCTTGCAGATAGCTTGGCTTCATATAGGCATCTTCTAATTGTAACAGTACTCACAGGTAACTTTAGACCTTCTTTGATCTTCCTGGAGCTGATTGTTGGCTGAGTCCTTGCCATTTTGGCTATTCTTCTATCCATTCGAATGGTAGTTTTTCGCTTTCTTCCACGTTTTTCAGGTTTTGGTTGCCATTTTTAAGCATTTGCGATCATTTTAACTGAGCAGCCTATCATTTCCTGCACTTCTTTATATGTTTTCTCCTCTCCAATCAACTTTTTAATCAAGGTACGCTGTTCTTCTGAACAATGTCTGGAACGACCCATTTTCCTCAGAATTTCAGAGAGAAATGCACTGTAACCAGCATGTACAACATTTGCTGCCCTCCTTCCTTAAATAAGGGCAATAATTGCCACCTGTTTTTCAAAGAATGAATGACCTCACTAATAGAACTCCACACTGCTATTATTTTGAACATGCCCCTTTCAATTAGTGATTCAATTACACAGAATCAGCAGCATGCATGTCATGACTGTTGGGTCTGTTGGATTTCTATTACTCTACTACACCTGCTAGTAAATTATTTGCCATGTAGAAATATAATTTCTACCAAAAACAGTGATTGATCAGGTTAGTGATGTCTGACTGCTATTATTTTGAACACAACTGTATGTATTTATGTTTAGAAACCCGCTTATAGAGGGACCCCTGCTGCAAAACTGGCAAAACAGGAAACCCCAAAGTTTTTAGAGAAATAAGTTATAGGAGATAGAAATTGAAAATGAACACAAATTGAAACACAAATGTTACGGCCATTGTAAAAAAAGAAGTATTGCTCTTGTGGAAGCTGTCTTAAAGCTGAATTTTGGGAAAATGAAAAGTCCTCTTTTGTAGTGGGGCTACATCCAAACTGGGGAAAGCACTTTTACTTAGCTGATGCTCTGCTGCAACAAGCTCCTCTGTGCTACTAGACCAGTCCATGCAGCCTCATTTTGTCCATGCTTTGGCTGCCTAAGGCCTTCTGATGTCCTCAAGACTGATTATTATTATTATACAGGTTTTATATAGTTTGCTCAGCGCTTTACAATATAACGAGAGACAATACAGCAACAATACAGTTCAATACAAGAGGGTTAGGAGGAAAGACAAAGTAGAAAAGGGTGAGTGGGTAGTGGGAAGAGGAGACATGTCCGGATGCAGGGACCCAAGCCCTGCATTGCATATGAGGAGGCAGAGGATTGGAGAGTGGAGGATCAGATAAGTAAAAGTAAAAGTGCTCTTAGTCCATAGACTAAATGAACAGTTAATCCTTGTAGTGTAGGAGCATCCCCACTGCAAGGAAAAGTGTCTAATTATCCTGTTTGCCTTTAACTTGAACAATATACATTAGATTATGTAGACCCCCAACAAGTCCACTTACAAGTGGTCATTTGAGAGTGAAATGTTACTAAATGTATTTCTAAATATGGGAGCTCCCTTTCCTATATATCACATTAATTGGAAAGCGAGTTGGGTTCCTTGTATTAACCAACCAATATATTTTCATCATATTACATTTCAGTGTCTTTATGACAGCTTTTAAATATTATTTTATTTGTGTTGTTTTCAGTATTACTGTTCACAAGGTAACATTCTGTAGATTGTGAGAGTAGAGGCTAAACCTTGATAAAATGCATATTGGGGATATGCATAGTATCACATGTCATGGGTATTAAAGACAAATGCTTTCATTATTATTATCATCATTATTGTGCCCTAAGGTGGAATGGGAACAAACATTTTTGAGATGTGCAGTAATACATTTCTACCATGTAGACCCACATACCTATGGTAATTAATATTTCTTTCTTGCCGAAAGCTGAATACCGTACTTGTTAACATTTAGTCAGAGTTCCCCAACAGACCTGCCTCCAGACTGCCCAAGTATTACAACATCTCCTGTGTCTTTTGAAGTCTGAGTCATGGCTGAGTAAAAATCACCAGTGCTTTGTCACCTTGTCATCTGAACTTTGGGAGGGTCTCCTTACTAGTCATTTGTAATGCAATGTTATTGACTGGCTAAAGCTGGCCACACATGTGCAGTATCTTCTTGCATTTTCATATGTAATAAATTCTCATACAACTCATCTTACATTACAAAAACGTGCAATTTCCCAGTTAAAAGCTCATATACAAAATTGTTTTGATTGGTCAATTTCCTTGATGGAGATTATTCTGTAAAATTGTACACATGTTTAAAATCACTTTAGATATGGAACAAAATCCAGCTCCAGTCATCCAGTTACTGCTTTTTACAATCACATTTAATACATTTCTGTACAAAAATAATCCAAATCTTAGCAGATTGCACTGCCCAGTAGTAATGCATATAACCAATGTTATACTAGTTGTGCTGTTTATGATTATATTATAAAATATGGGAATAGATAGTGAAATAAAGATTTTTTAAGCTTTGCTATGCAATCAAACCCTCAAAAGAGGCTCTAAGTCTTCCATACTCTATCCAAATCTACAAAAATGTTTTGGCTTTACATACAGCAAATACAATGATGAAATACATACAGTATATGAGAGCTTAACACAGGTCATGTCTCCCCCCTAGCCTGTGACTACACAGTGAATAGAGAAGCAGCAGAATGATGAGATCAGCTCTCTGTCACTCTGTTTCTCTCCTTCTTTCTGTTCCTTGTTCACAAATGTAACACATCTTGTTGGCTCCTTATGCTGTGTCTCGCTCTCCCAGGCTGGACTCTACTGTACAAAAGACTGCAAGAGGATGATGTTAAGGCAAATTCTAAAACTTTAACAGCTTGAACTGAATAAATATATTTAATGATGTATTAATAAAAACACAACTGCATTAAGTTATGTCTTATTGCCTGGAAAGTAGCTTTAAATTGTATGCAACAGTGTTTTTTTTTTTTAGTTTTGGAAATAGTAGGGAAGAGTTAGACCCTTTGTCATATTTTTATAGTTGTCTATGTCACGGCTGGGGAAACTAACCCCTTCTATTTGTTCTGGTGATCACGGTCACTAAAACAAGAAAAATTGGTGTGGCGCTAAGACAAAAATCACTAATCACACATATTATATATATATAATATATAGACTATATAAACAGGTGCTTTGAAAATAGTCATGCATATATAAACCTCTTGCATATCCCCCAACAGGGGCACGTGACTATATGCTTGTGATGGTAACACAAAAAACACCATGCAAAGGAATATAAAATTCCTACAAGTGACAGAGGTGCATAAATTACAGTCCACTACACACAAAGACTGTGATCCTTTAAACAAGCGTGAAAGTGCCACTGGTGTCACTGGTGCCACAATCCAGAAATGGTAAGAGTGCCTCCTCACCTCCCCGCACTGACCACAAGGGCCAATACGCCTTTGCACCTTATAGGTGTACTCCTCGAATGCCAGCCGGTACAGGTCCACACTGGATGCTACCTCAGACGCAGTTATCCCAAATGCCACCTCCAGCTGCTATATAGTGGTGGTATTAGACCACCAGATGATGATGTTCATAAAAGGAATACAGCCTTAGAATAATCCTCCTGTATCCTCGAGCTATGGGTGTACCCGGAATCCCAATATGGCGCGTGCGTCGGAAATGACGTCACCGCGTACCGGAAGTGTCGTCAGGGCGTACCAACGCGTTGCGTCACGAATAACACGTGACTTCATCAGGGTGACCCTGATGAAGTCACGTGTTATTCGTGACGCAACGCGTTGGTACGCCCTGACGACACTTCCGGTACGCGGTGACGTCATTTCCGACGCACGCGCCATATTGGGATTCCGGGTACACCCATAGCTCGAGGATACAGGAGGATTATTCTAAGGCTGTATTCCTTTTATGAACATCATCATCTGGTGGTCTAATACCACCACTATATAGCAGCTGGAGGTGGCATTTGGGATAACTGCGTCTGAGGTAGCATCCAGTGTGGACCTGTACCGGCTGGCATTCGAGGAGTACACCTATAAGGTGCAAAGGCGTATTGGCCCTTGTGGTCAGTGCGGGGAGGTGAGGAGGCACTCTTACCATTTCTGGATTGTGGCACCAGTGACACCAGTGGCACTTTCACGCTTGTTTAAAGGATCACAGTCTTTGTGTGTAGTGGACTGTAATTTATGCACCTCTGTCACTTGTAGGAATTTTATATTCCTTTGCATGGTTTTTTTTGTGTTACCATCACAAGCATATAGTCACGTGCCCCTGTTGGGGGATATGCAAGAGGTTTATATATGCATGACTATTTTCAAAGCACCTGTTTTATATAGTCTATATATTATATATATATAATATGTGTGATTAGTGATTTTTGTCTTAGCGCCACACCAATTTTTCTTGTTTCTATATGTACTTTTTGGTGTAAAGGAGGGTGTTGGCAGCTTAGTGTAGGTTTTTTTCTTCATCTGAAGCGCAGGAGGTTTTATATTTTTTTAATGGTCACTAAAACAGAACTTGGGGGAAATTTAAGAATTTTAGGTTGTCAACAAAACAAGAGCAAAACCATTTCTCATGACATCTCTCTAAGATGGGAATTTCATTTATTTTTAATCTTCAAGACCTGTTACAGCTTCAGGACATGAAATAAAGGCAGCATACAAAAATTTGACTTTACACACACGTTAAATCACAAAAGGCAAAACCATCTGATGACCAGTGTATGTAATAACTATGCTGTTACTATGCAAGTAACTCTAGTATACATTCGGAATGGCTATTTGCTGTTATTTAGAGGTTATGACTTTGTTTACTAGTCATAATCATACTAGTCATAATAGTAGGTACTAGTCATAATAATAGATATCAGGGCTAAAAAGATGACTTGTCTTTATTTTCAAATGGGACTTTGATAAAGATTGACATTCTATGAATATCTGGACATAATATAAAATGATATATTCTCTGTTTCTAGGCCTCCCAGACTTGGTACCAGATCCGTATTACATCCAGGCCTCCATTTATGTGCAGCGAATGTCCATGTACAGCTTAAGATGTGCCGCTGAGGAAAACTGCTTGGCAAGGTTAGTGTGGCACTGCACATGGAAACACATCTGTTTGTTTCTTTTCTCTTTCAATAAAAAAAATCTTTTCTCCTTCAATAAAAGTTATTTTTATTAGGATGAATGGATTTATTCTAACATTCTTTGGTTTATGAAAACTGATATTTTTTCTTTGATTTTCTAACATACATGGCAGGAAGTAATTGTTTTATACTCATATAATGACTAAAGATGAGCTAATAGTTGAAAACCCACTCAGCTGCCAATTTGTTTTGCTAATCTGCTTTTCAGTTGCATACCTGCTTATCCATTAGTTTTTTCTCTTTTTTCTCTTGTGCCACTTGAGAAATTATGCTATAATGACAATATGGGGGCAGTCATTTTCCCACATAATTACCCGTACATATATCAGTCATAATTTAAATAGGGAGTCCCTTTGTTTTTGTTTTTTTTTGCTCTAACTGGTTCACTGTATATCGGGTTTTTACCCTTTTCCCCTTTCGCTGCTTTTATTCAAACTACAACCCTCAACCTAGCGGGTAAAATCCCAATAGTGTGTGATCATGCATTTCAGAAATACAGGACCATTTTTTTCCACTGGACTTCTCAGTTACACTTGTGCAGCCCCATAGGTCTTCCTTTCTTTTTTTAAATGAGCTATTATTTAAAACATAGGACCAGACAGAACTTGTCTCTATGGAAAAATTGGTTAATTTATATCTGGTCCATTCTTCAGTAATGGGAATTGAGAGATTAACAGAACATCTTGGTTTCTGGGTCTTTTGATGAACTAGATGTTACCCTAGAAGATTTCCCTACCCTTGTTTATCTAAGTAGTTACTAGCAGTTATCAGGAGAAGAACCTTCTCATAATAACTAGTACATTCCCAGAGCCAACGAATGAGGGATCCAAAGCTGGCCATACACTAGTAGATTTTTGAATAAATGTTCATACAAACCTTCATAAACAAATTAGTATATTCAGTGACTTGACAAATATCAGTTAAAAAATGTGTTTACCATTCGATTTTGACAAGATAAGTTCATTATTCATTTGTTTGACATTTTCCATGCTGCTCCTTGGAATTTTCTCGGCACAGCAGTCAAAATTAAACATCGTTTTGACCCCATAAATAATTAGGTCACAATCACAAGAACATTCTGAAAACTAAGAATTTAGAACAACTAAGACATGGCCAGTAAAAATTCCTGAGGTGATACTAGAAGCCCTGGCTTCTGTGATCTTTTATTCTCAGCAGAAGACTTCTATTAAAAATGTTTTTTTTTTCCTTTAAATTGTTTCCTCTATATTGCAAACTGTCCTAAAAAGCATCCAGTGTTGTCTGGTCAAATCTGCTGCTCTCTGCTGAATTCCAGGTCCCATGTCACCATCTTTGATACTGGTGTCATCAGAAGGTCGGGTGTCGCTTCCAGGTTCTTGCACCAGGCCCTCTGATGACAGAATGCTGCACATGTGCAGTGTTCCCGAGATTCCCTGGCACGTGGGCAGTGTGCTTGGCATTGTCCCAAAGCCTTCTGGCATGCATGATGTAAGCATCCCAGAAGCCTTCAGGAAGGTAGGACACACCATCCTTGCCTAGGCAAAAAAATAAAATTATGATGGTTCTGATTTTTAGAGGAAAAACACTCTGTAAAAATTCCTCTCTTAGCTCATAATTCCTGCATCACCTCAGTGAAAGTGAAAGGCAGATGATCTAATCCTGAAAGATTTAGAGAACTGTTTGGGCAAAAATCCACATCTGACAAGATCATAGGCATGAAATAATTTACAGGAAAAATGTTTTTGTGTGAGCCTTCAGTGTGATATTTGGTCAGCTGAGAGGTTGCTCTTTGTCAAAATAGAAAAGGGAAAATGTGGACTCCGCTACAGAAAATGGAACAAAGGAATGAAATATTCTCAAAAACCAAGTGTAGCTGCTATCTAACATGGTGTGAAAACCACCTACATGTGATTTATTGTAAATTACATCACCTTAAAGAGTTTTTCCAGTCTTTCCCAAAAAAATTAAAAGTCAGCAGATGCAAATGCTGCAGCTGCTGACTTTTAATAAAAAGACACACTGTCCAGGCATCCAGCGATGTCCTCACCCAAACCTATACTTCAATCGGCTTCGTATCCAGGCACCAGCAGTAGGTAAGGGAAACTGGCAAAGAAGCCTTGTGGCTTTGCAGCCTATTTACCTCTGCACATGAACGAGCCATGCTGTGCTTTGTGAATGGTCCTGTAGTCTTCTGAGACTATTGATTTGTGATTTGTCCCAGAATTGCCGTGGGAATTTGACTGGAAGTGGGAGCAGGTACCTGTCAAAACCAGGTACCCGCTCCCCCCTCACGCCCAAAAAAGTGCCAAATGTGGAGTTGGAGGGGATGCAAACAAGCGGAGCCTTGTCTTTGGGGTGAAGTCCCACTTTGATAAACACATATATTTAAAAATATTATAAATTCAATCAAAACAACTAAAACTTATATATATATATATATATATATATATATATATACTCAAAGTGCAAAGTGATCAGTGTAAAGAATGTTATTAAATATTAATAAATACATCCAATAGTATTTCCTTAAAATAAAGTGTGCAATCAAATTCATTAAAAATAATTAGTAAAGTGTATTTAATAATATTTAGCATTTTTTTACACTGATCGCTGTGATATTTGTTTGCACATATACACTTTGAGTTTTTTTGTTTTTTGATATTTATGTTTTATATGGTTTTAGTGGTTTTGATGAAATGTATAATATTTTTTGATATTTTTGTTATATAAGGTGGTGGTTTTGTCAAAATAATCATAAGTGAATGAACAGGAATGGCTTTGTGGTTGTTGTACAGATCGTATCTCATATTTAATCTGTTCTCAGCAATTGCTAGAATGCTGCGGTGTCATTAACATTCATCAAATTTTCTTTGAATCTTCATAAACTATGAATCAGATCTTTGTTGAATAAAATCAACCCATCTGGTCAGCCTTACACAAAAAGCAGATTGTATAGATTAAAAATTGGGGAGCATTAAAAATGAAAATAAAACATCAGCTTGTCATAGAGACAAGATTTTATCTTGTAAACATAGCAGTGACATAATCACTGTGCTGTACATAGCCTGTGCAGAGAGCCAAGCTGTAGGAAGGACCCAGCAAACTCAAAAACTACAAGAGGGAGTGGAGACGAGACCAGTCACCCAGCACAAGGAGAGAGAGCAGCAGTGACCGGTCATTTTTGCAAAAAGCTCCTACACAGAGTTAGGGTCCATGCACCTTAAATACATTATTATATTATTATTATTATTCAGGATTTATAAAGTGTCAACAGTTTGCTCAGCGCTTTACAATATAATGGGAGACAATACAGCAACAATACAGTTCAATACAAGAGGGATAGGAGGGCCCTGCTCCTTGGAGCTTACAATCTAGGAGCTACTTCTAGAGGAGTTTAGCATTTTGCTTGTAGAAGCAACTAATGTTATCCTACCTGTCCATGCATATTAAGTCGTTTAGAGGCATATTTTAAGGCCAGCATTTAGAAGCATAAAAAAAAACCCTAGTACATAAAACACTCAAAATGTGTTTTTTTTTCTGCGAAGAGCACTGGTGTTTTTTTTAAGCCAGTGTGCATGTACCCTAAAAGTTTCATACTGGATTACTGCACAGATGAGGAAAAAATATGCAACTCATATCAGGGGTTCAAGCAAAAATACACATACCTCTTGTATTTGAGCAGTTCAGTTCTAAGCATCTATTTAAATAAAGTTATCACTTAGAGAAATCTAACATTCCTTCTTTGAGAAAGCATGCAGTGTAATGCAATTCGTGGAACGGCCTTGTCATGTTTTTTTCAACCTTCCAAACATGATCATATGTAATCAGGTCTCAGCTTGGATCACAACTCTACATAATAATTCATGTTTTAGCAGCCGTTACACAATTTTGACATTACGTACATTAAGTAGAACTTCAAACAGTCCTAGCCTCGGATATCTTCTTTTTAAATATTAAAGTGGAAGTACATTGTCTACTTTGTGTAGGTAAACTTTCACTATAATTTACAAGTATGCAAAGCATACGGCACACTTACATTTCAGTGTGCCTCCTGAAGTAAGGACAGGTCCAGCCTCAAGAGCTCCCCAGCCATTTCTTCTGGGTACCATGACCCTCTTCACCTATTGGTCAGCCACTATTGATGTACGCCCTCTGCGTGTATGCAGGAGATACATCGATCTACATCTATTCTTGATATGCTGCGAAAGAGCCGGGATATACATTGCACTATGAAATGTAAATTCTAGGAGTGGAGGGAAACTTTCTAGGAGCATGGGGGAAAGTTTTTTTTTGGCGCAAGATACTTTGCATTATAACTCCTAACAAGTTTACAAAGTGTAACTTTACTTCTTTAAAGTGTATCTAAGTCCACTTTTTTGGATAGAGTAAAACTGGCAATACACTTTTTTTTTCTTTAGTTTAGCCATTGGGAAAGATTCTTTCACCCACTCAAGCTAGGTGGATGGAGGAATCCACCTCTGCCAGAATATTGTATTCTGGCAGCAGCTCCCTTAGCTGTCAGAATACACTTATCAGCATCTGTGGCTGATTAAATGTCCCTTCAACAGAAGACAAAATCAGCTTCTGTTGATGGGGAAAGCCATGCATTGATCAAAATTCAGCCAGTCCCTGCTAAACTGACCAAATTTCGATCAGTGTATAGCCAACTTAAAGGATTTGAACCCCTGGCAGGATTTGTATCCTATTTAAAATTCATTCCATACTGACTCCTTAGACACCAGAACGTACACTAAAGTCCAGAAATGGCCAGCACACCTGGAGAATATCATTTACTTCAACATTAAAGGAAAAAAAAAAAACAACATTCCATCAATGTTTTAGAGATACGCAGATCACCGTTATTAGGTCTGTCACTTTGATAAGGGAATCTGCATATCACAGAAACATCGGTGGAATGCTTTTTTTTTTTTTTAGATGCAGAGCATCAAAAGAATATTT